GAAAAACGCGAATTATGCACTGGGGATCTGAAATGGGACAAATTTAATCAGCGGCGATATTTCCGAGTTTAAACCCATCGGCACAAATGGCCGACATGCCGTAATAGGAATTTGACGAGGGTCCAAATATTGATTCCGCCATTGGATATGTGTTTATGGTTTTTTTAGGACTAATGGCACTATTAAATTGCTGCATCGATAAGGCGATCGGACATCGGCTCCATACGGTCACCATAATGGGGATCGTTTACGCCATTATTGGATCATCGAGATTAGCATGTAATTTATATTTTAAAGGCAATTGTGCATGGATAATGGAAAAGGGGGACACCTTAATGGAGCCTGCTGTTTTGACTATTTATGCAGGTTAAATTAATACATTCGACTGACTGGTGGCCTAATTGCAGGCATTCCTCCGCAGTTTTTGCAGTTGTAGACCGGGAACAAAGCTTAAACTCTTAATTTATGGGCTCGCTGTTTGAATAAGACCTCAAATAACGAAGTCGGATTTTGCATTGTTCGGCTTCTGATGCAGTCCTGCAAACCAGTGGTACATGCACTGAATAATTTAAGCAAAATTGCGCCCAATGATATCGCACGGTCTAGCTAGCTGCTACTGCTTCAAATTTGCTTCAGAACTTAATTCCCTGCCTGCGTCCGTTCAGTTTTTCTTTCACCTTCTTTCGAAGTTTTTCACGTAAATCCACGAACAGAAGACACGGAAACTTTCCACAATCAAGCCGGCAGGAATGGACGCGATTCCCCAAATAAAACTTCCCGAAAGGATTAAAGTCCAAAATCAGCAGATAACGACTTTTTGCGTTACAACTTTAAGAATCTAATCCACTGTGCTGTGTCCGGTTCGTGCTCGAAAAGGTTTTTCTCTAATTATAATGTCGAGCCGTTTATCTTAATTAGGGACAGTGCAGTCGTTTTTCCTCCAACTTCAATCTCTCAGATAATCTTCCAACTTTAATTAATTTATGGAGGGATCTCTGCACTGCATATTATGGAGGATTTATCGGGGAATTGTTGGCCAAGATTTATTGGTTCGCAAATTCAAGTGACACCGCCAAGTTGCGGATGCTAATTTCGGTAGTGCCTGGTTTGGTTATTATTTTCCTCCATGTTGACGGTGTATGTATTTTTCAGAATATTAACTAAATAGTTTCTCTTGAAACACTGCCTCTTATTTATAGCATCGCAGTGTTTAGGGCCTCGACGTGCAAACCTTGTTTAAGTTTAAGTTCCTTAAACTTATTCGTATTTCTTACAGTTTTCGTAGTTTTTCAACGACAATTCTTTACATATCTTTGGATATTCTCTGGACTCTGATGAAGTTTCGGACCCAAAAATCGCAATCGAAGCAAACAAAAAACATTTAATCTCGTTCAAAACTGAATGATTGTTTAGCGCTGAAGGTATCAAGTTGGAACGTAGCTACGCGCCGCCCGTCTCGCATCTCTCTTAGACTCCCATTGGTGCAAGTGAGAATACCGATGCCAACTAAGTTCCAAAATGGAAACGTTTGGTTCATTCGATTCAGAGTGTAAGTGAACTCTGTACGAAACAAGGACAACTCTGGAGATGTTAATCATACGGACTAGCGAAACGTCAATGCAATTCCAATCCAAATGGCCCAAAAACGTTTTATTTGTTTTCTAAACTACCAAAGTTTGTCGCCCACAGTTTTAATAACAAAACTGAGCAAGTTAATTATTTTCCCAATTAATTGATCACATTCTGCATATTTAACCTTTCTTTTGCAATTGCAAATAATTTCCACGCCATATTGTCGACTGCTCTAGAAAAAGTGAATTGATATTTTAGAGAGGAAATAATTTTTTTTACACTTACATGAAACAATACTAATGACAAATGTTTAATTTATTGACAACGAAAAATAAAGCTTTTACTTCTGGTAAGGTAAGGTGCATCAAATAATATCTGCTCAAATTTCCCATTTGGGTTCTTGCAAAGGTCTCTGTAATTTTTTTTCGATTGTTTTTATAGCGCCAATTTTGAATCACCCTATATGTAAAATACAGCGAAAATATCTTCAGTTCTGTTGAGTATTTCTCGTTTAACAGTTGTGAGTTTGCCCGGTTAAGGTTTGCCTTCGTCTGTTTTCATAATTTGTAGAAAATTAATGCTTTCCTCAGCTTAGCGCAACGTCTAGGAAAAGATGAGGGTTTTTGGCGCGTTAAAGTTAATTTGCAACTGTCCTCGCTAAATGGGCCACATATTCGACATCAGCTAGCCAATCAGTCACGGACTTTGCACGAAAATTAGAACTTATCGTGTCAATGCTTTTATGAAAGCATTTGTTACACTGAACTAACGCTAATTTTAACGTTGTCCTCAACTTGAGGAGTTGCATCAGGAGTTTGTTCGGGTTTTTTTTTGCAGATTCTCGGGGAAACTGTAGAAGAAACACGCATTTCGCTACATTGAATTTGACTGAATTATACAGCGAGCTTAAATTAACTTAGTCAGGACAGCTAGCAAAACCCGCCAGATTATTAATGAGGAATGAAGGCCTGCCATAATATTTTCATATCCGCAGCTGGGTAATAATGGACATAAATAATAACTGTGTGTTGTCTAATATGCTCATTCTGCATACTCAATGGTGGCACTTCTATAGGTTAAATTGATGATAACTGATCACAGCCGAACCTGTACAAGTGAAATTTAAGCGATTTTTTACTACTCCTGCGGATTTTCTTTGTGTGTGAAAGCAAAGATGAGAAAAACAGCGTGTTTGTGACCGATCTCGAAAGCATGTCACGTCATAGGCGGGCCTATTGTCCTGATCTGTTTTACAAATTTTTGTAAATAATTACTTAAAGGGCCAAAAGGCTTCTTAAATTCCAAAAACGGCTTCTTTTGGTAAACGTGAAAAACTTTCTGATTGGTAATTCTCTTGAATATTTGTCAATCGATTAGTCAGTGAATTCGGGATGTTCCAGTAAAAGGTAATTAAAAGATGGTTAGTAGCAAAGAAATAAAAACATTCCTGATAGGAAACAAGATGAAATAATCAACTAACTAGTTGAATCCTTGTTTAAGGAGACTTGAAGAAGAAGTTTTAATGATCTTCCGAGCTTTTCTGCAAACCAAGTTGTTTGATAAATTACGTTTTTGTCAAATTCATCAAATCCTCAAAACGCACTGGGAAACTTTAAAAGAAAACTGATGAAGTTTTGAAAATTTTGAATTTATTAGATAATGAGGCAAAAAAGTTGGAAAATGTGTAATAGTTACAAAAAATTCCACAATAGACAGCATCATCCGCTTAACTGCAATTGAAAAAGAAAAGTACTGTGTACTTTTCTGTTCAAACTCAAGTGGCAAAGTTTTTAAACGTGTGTTTTCGACGACGATATGAAAATGTATGCATGCGCCAAATGAAAACTGCTGAAAACTAGGCCAGAAGAGACAAAGTAAGAAGGGCAAAGTACGGTCAAAAAAGCAGGTGAATTTCAAGTTTTAGTAATTTTCAGGGATTTTGTTACAAAATTTTAAAAATAACTTTTTTCGAAGACGTTATTTGAATCTTTTGCAAGCGCCACTTGAACGACACCAGAAAAGGTGTCGCACGCATACGCAAGACGCATACTCGCAAGTGTATCTTCAGTACCAGAATACCTGGCGAAAATCGGAAAGGTTTCCATTTTATGGCATCATCAGGAATTTTTTTCTCGGATTTGTCGAATTTTATTGTTTTTGACGACAATATTGTATTATAAAAGACCATAAACTTAAAACCAGTATCGCTAGAAAAATTCAGTTTAAATATCACCAGGGTCTTTTTTCAGAAGTTTTCAATTTTTATGTTTCGGCACTGGTTCGCACCATCTGAAAATTGGTAAAAACAAGACAAGAAAAGCCAGAAGCATGCTTTCATCGATATTTTAAAGTGCAAAGTACGGTGAAAAAATTTTCAAATGCAGTTATTGTCACGATGTTTTTTTAAAAATTTTTCAAATTTACTGTTTTACAATTTTCTCCAAGCGCCAAATGGTCTACACCAAAAATAATAGGAACATTCTCATAACAGCATCTTTAGTCTTTAACTACCTGGTAAACACGTAGCAAGTTTCTATTTGATCAGGAACTTTTTTCTCGAATTTGTCAATTTTTCTTGTTTTTTTTACCACACTTTTATATTAAAAAGCAATCATGGACATAAAGCTAGCACAGGCAGAAGAATGCGTTTAACTGGGTTGTAGAGAGCAAAGTACGTTCTAAATAGTGACCAAGTTTGAATTTGATAGCATTATCGGGCAAGTTTTTACAATTTCGTGAATTTCATTTTTTTGGACGACTATATTCCAGAAAATCTGCAAAAAAGTCTAGTTGAAAAACCAGCATGGGCTCAGCTGCATTTTAAAGAGAAAGAAACACTTAAAAGGTGGCTAATTCTGTATTTGAAGCCATCATCAGAGATCTTTGATGAATTTTTAAATTTTTGGGTTCTAGGCCAATATGTTCGCCTCGTTAATCTCAAAATTCCTGCAAATCCAGAAGAGTTAGGAAATATCGTCTTCAGTCAATCTGTAGTCTGTCAACTGATGGCGTTTCGATTTCAATTCGTCCTCAGAGATTTTCCAGCGAATTTTTCCAATTTTACTGCTTTTCGCATCGATCGATATTCAGCTTTCTGATAGCAGCCCAAAAAATGTATCGAATTGTAGTCGTTTTTTGTCAATTTCAATGTAGGTCTAATAATTTTTAGGCCTCTAAGCCTCTAGAGTAGTTCTCTGGTGTTTGTCGCCACTTTTTACACACAAGAATGGTGGTGCTCGTTGGTCGTGCGTCCGGGATTTCGGTGCCAGGCAAAGATCTTATTAATCAGTCAGACAAAGAAATTGTATATTGAAATAGTGCGATAATGTGTTTTGAAGACATGTTTTGTTCAACTGCAGAGGGCGCCCAAGCAGCCGCTAAATTGAATCGGCGGCGGCGGCGACGACGACGGTTAGCGTCCCCAGTGCAGTGCAAGGCGTCCAGACGGCCGGTATGTGCGTCGCGACGCGAAAGCGGACGCCAAACGGACCGTGGACGATCATGCGACCACCGCATTTTTTCAATCGGCACACGGCGGCCACTCAGGGGTACTTTCTCTTCAGCATTTCCTAGCCGAAAAAATCGCTCTTTTGTTTTAGCGGCTTTGTCAATTTTTTTTACCTACAAATGCCCCGACAGGTAGCAACATGCAAATGTTTTGTTCAATTTGTCAAACCACTGATCAGGCTCTGATTGGTTATTTTGTGGCGATGTCTGGGAGCACAAGCTGGAATTTTGGGTTCGCATCACAGTGATTTGATTAGTGCCATTTTTTTCCGTTAACGTCGGTTCAGGTACTTTAAGTCTTTAAGGAACTTTTGTTGTGGTTTTCTTCAATTTGTAGCCTTTGAGTTTAAATTGCCAAGTTTCAATCCCATCTAGTGCTAGATTTCTTTTGACTCCACTGGTCAACCAAATCAAGATTGCACCAAAAAATTTGGACCAAATTTGGAACTGGATTAATCCTGGTATCTGAGAGCGATTTGGCTTCTGTTTGAAGCCTTTTTAAGTGCAATTCGTTTCCGGTTATTGTGTGGTTTTGCGRAAAAWTAGTGCGGCAGATAAAGCTTCTACAGGGYGRCAAATSAAACAATGCAAAATTGGTGAAACTTTCCCGGGTTCTCARTYAAACAAAAACGATTTTTSGATTTCAACACCACAGGCATTAACCTCGTAACCTAATAGACCTCGTATTAAGATAGAYCTCGCTTAGAAAAAKWTAACGTTTTGATCTTGTAGTKATGAATGCTTTTCAMTTTWTTTTTCACCAATTTTCAAAAATTAGTGCTTTTATTAAAGCCRAAACTTCGCAGTCAAACTGAGAGATAAATTGCATGAATGSATGAAATATTWRAARAAAAAACTTCACTTAGTTGAAAATCTTCCAGAATCATAGATTTCAAGAGCAGTTCTGATTTTTGTGCAACCCTGTAGATCGAATTTTTGTCTGAAATCATCTATAAGCAAGCGTCTATGGCGCTCTATAAGGGTTAAGCTTCAACATCAGCTCTAGATGGTGAAAATCTGACCAGAGGCAGAAAAGTTACGGCTGCAAAACCAAAAAGTTGATTTGTTGAGACCACCCAGTAAATAGAACAGATTGCCGAACAACTCAAAAAACGATTCGATCTATCTGGCCGCCCTGCAGAAAATTTATCCGATGTGCTCACTTTTTACCAAAACACTGACTAGTAAGAACAAATGGGGCTCAATAACGCTTCAAACAGGCACCAAATCCCTCTAAGGAATCAGCACTTATCCATTTCCAAACTTAGAGCAAATTTGGTTGGGTTCTTTTTGCTGACCAGTTTAGCTCGCCATTATCTTCATCGTTAAAGAAAACGATTTTTAACGTTAGTTCATTAGCAATTAATTGCCCATACACAACACAAGTTGCATTTCATAAAAGCTCCAGTTTAATTGCTAAATCATTTTAAATCACCTGCAGGATTTAGGCACTGTCAACAACGAAGGAAACCAAATTCTTAGGAAAAATCGACAAAATCTTTGGCCCATTTAGCAGGAAATGTATCTCTTTTTAGTAATCGGTTGAGCTGGTTTGGTTTTCATATTCATTGTTCGAACCCAAAATTCTTGCTTTGCCTTCAAACTGCCTTGTATTGTTGTTAAGCACTTTGATAGTTTTGCTCTGTGATTGACTGTCTTTTGCAAATACGATAGGGAATTATGCGAATGTTCGTACCCAAATTATGATTAAAATATCGACATTTGTCCCTTACATTTGCGGAAATTTGAACGACTGGGAGCAGAAAAGAGCACATTCTGACCCCTGGTTTATTGGTTGAAAAATAGAGTTCAAGTAATCGTTGTGTTCGGTGCAAGCAACTGTAATTTGCTTTTTGGCTAATTCGTTGTTTATTTTGAGCTTCTGCTCTTTTCATTCGTCAATTATTTCCATTAAATTTGATTATCTTCAAGTCTTAGCAATGGAAGTTGCAAATGTGTTCTTGTCCAGTGTTCCACTGTCGTTTCATTGCCTTTTTACTTGGTTTATTCTTATTTTCTGTGTACGTATGAAAATATCTATTAAAATCTTTGCTCCTCATAGCAGTTGTCCACCTTAATCAGTTGAAAATTTTTTCAACGTAAAGTAAAATTTCTTAAGTAAACTTCATTATTAAACCCTCTGTATTCTCACTAGTTGCGTTCGCATTCAATGTGAACATATTAAAGTTTTGCAACTTTTAAATGAACAATTTAAGAAACTTGCAAAGGATTCTTTATTTCAGTTTCATTTCCTCTCCTACCGGGAAATTAAATCCTTAAACCAGTTCGAAGAACGGAAATGTGCACTGAAACTTTTACATTTTTCTTAAAACGAACGATTTTTTCTGGCCGTTAAAAGTTTCCAAAGAAAGATTTATGGGGTTTTTGCTTTTCTTTGACGACAAGTCGATTTAAAGCGGATTCATAATAAGGGAGAGTTTACTGCTGATGACGAAGTTCGTTCAAGTGAATTGCAAATCACTAAACCCTGTAATAAAAATAAATAACTACAGACGTTTAGTTCTTCATAGTGCTGCTGCGTTAAGCAAACCACCTCAGTTTCGCAGCTTTTTCTGTCATTTTCAAAATTCTGGTTCCTGGTTTTTAATTTCTTTTGCGTGTTGCGCTCTTGGTTTGGTCGTCACGACCTCTGAAGATGCAGGTGGCTCGAGCTTGCAAAACGTCAGTCTCGAACAATAACCACGAAACCCTAACTATCTTGATATGTCTGGAATAAATAAATCTTTCTAAGTTTTTCTGTAGGAATGACTTTCGAGATCGATTGAAAGTGTGTGCGGTGTGGGAATCGAGTTGCGACTTGCACGTGCTAGTAGTGTGTAAATGTTGTTTGGTTTCATTCCCGAATTGAATTATCCCGAAAATTAACATAAACCTTAAGCTAAGCTCGTTGGTAAAGAGGGTGAATTCCCATCGCGTCCTTTGAATTGATTAAATCATAATTCGGTGGATTCTGGCACTTGAAATCCATTCAGACGTTTTGATTTAAGTTTCCAGTCTTGCCGTTTGAATCCGGGTCAATTGGCGTTTTGGATAATTTCGAGCCAGATTTGCAGTTGGGGAAAGTTGCCGCAAAACGCACATTGGAACGGATTGAAGAGCGGTTCTGTCGTCACAATTGCGGGGGGATTTTGTCAAACAAGCAGTTCGTTATTTCCTTCGAAATTTTCTCCAATTTTCTGAACAATTCCCTACAAGAAAGTATCGTATCAGGGGCAGTCGACGGTGGATATAAAATATAGACTCAAGCCCTAATCGGCTTTCTCTTTTCAAAGCTGATTTGCTGATATGGCCATGGTTAGTTGGGCAGCCATCGGACAGAAAGCTTTCGAGGGATGATTTGATAGTGTACAATTTGGAGCGATTTTTTGCTACATTTCGGAAATTAATTTTGAGCATTTTCACTTGGATTTTTTGTGCCCATTAATTTCGCTCACAGTAGTGCTTGGGCAAAGAGAACCCAAACACCCAGTCGTTCAGGTTCCAACGGCGAGATACAGTCAATTACAAGAGCAAAAACGGCGAATTTTTCTGCTGCTTTTTAACCATATTTCTTGTTGCAATCTCCAGTGTGCTGTCCGTACCCAAATGCAAACAGAAAATTGAATTTCATTTGTATGGCGTGTGAAAAGTGAGCGCGGAGGCACATTGATAACATACAAATTTGGCTGTTTTTTGTTTGTCTTTGGCTGTCTCATTGATCGTCCCGTCTCGTCTGTTTGGCCCCGCTTTATCTGGATGTGCGTTGCGAAAGTGCTGGGCTTTCCATCGCACATCCAAGTCCATGTCGAAGAGTTCGCTTTCAGTACAAATAACCAGAAAGTTCGCAAAACGCGAAGCCCCACTGTGGATTAACCAATTTTTACTTGTGCTTTTCAGGCTTTGATTAAACTTGCGGCGTTGAAATTTTGCGGCGCAGTAGTATATTTTTTGTAGAAGACCTCAGTTGTTTTTTTTATCATACTGTCTCTGTAGACTTTGGAGCTGTGTTTTTGTCATTGTCAGCAATGAGTCAAACTAGCGCTTGATTTGCTAAAGTGGAACGATGGTGTCCGATTTTGCGGGTTTCATGGAAACAAGCGTTGCGGTAAAGTGACCGTTAAGATTGCAGGTAATTTACCCGGTCGGAATTAAGGCAAATAGCAGGAAATACGACCTCTACTCAACTACTTGCAAAAGTCGCTATACGCTAAATACATTTTCTAGCTTGTGAGGAGACTGTCTAGCTCTTGAATTGATCATTAAAGGCTGCAGAAAACTGTTCAACATTTCTAGGATGTTTTAGTAGCGAAGGAGTACACTTTCAAATTCCTTCGACGAAATTTGCGCAATTTTCCTGTTGGCCCAGTTAACTCACTAAATCAGCATTCATCCGAAGCTCTCCCAACATTTTCTGTTAGCTTTTGAAATTCCGAGCTCAATTTGAGCGTTTCCCAATGAGAAGTTACCCATTTTCAACATTCCTGTTCTCATTGAAACCATACTGTTGCAGCTTCTACAAGTTATGAAGGCGATGCATATTGCGAGATTTTCCTTATTTTCATGCTTCAAACTGAGTGGCATCAGGTGAATTCATAAAATCAGCAAAACTAGGTAGTTTCTTTGAAACTTTTGATGGTTGGAAATTCGCCCTAAGCTTGACAGGTTCTAACGTATAATTTGCTTTAAAGTGGGAGTTTATGAAAAACCAGCAAAGTTTCACTCAAAGGACGACCGAAAATTTTTGTTTGCGGCTCAAAGAGCATCAACTGCAGTCTTAAGAGGTTGAAAATTTTTCCTTGCTTCAATCCAATTTCTTTGTGGCATCGACTACCAAGCATTCGAAGAGCGTAAAATTATTCAAAATCTTCGTCCCAGAGTTGAATCGCTTGAAACTTCTCGAAAAATCTGCACATTTTTTGAGACTTGAAACGAGCTGCAGGTGGTTTTATATAAGTGATTAGAAGTCGATCTTCTCAAAAGTTTCAAAATACTGTTCAGCATGTGCCGTAATCATTCAAAATCTGCAAACTTAGTATTTATGAAGCTTTTTCAGAAGTTTCCAGGCTTTCATCATATTCGTACTCCCAACTAAGTGGCATAAGATAAAATTTCGTCAGCAGAATTCGATCGTTTCTTGGGCACATTTGAAACTTTGGAATGTTGCTTCAAGCTTCAGAGCTTTTGCTGTGCATACCAGAAGTAAGAGTTTAGAAAAATCAGGAAAATCTAAGTACTTTTCAGTTCAAAAGGATTCAATGTTCCAAGTCTTGACAAAACTGCATTCTCAGCAACTCGTTCTTCATCCAAACCTTTTTGAAAATTTTCCATTCGAAACGTTCAGCTCAATTTGCAATTTTCCGCATGCTGCTCAGATCTAACTATCAGGCTTGTTGGAATGTTGGAATTCGCCCCAACATTTAGAGCGTTTGCTGCAGCTTAATTTGTTTAATTTTACCTGCCGGTCAAGGTTGTTGAAAGCCTTCAACACCTATCTTTATATGAGGATGAACAARCATCAAGCGGCAGTCTAAAGAGACTGATAGMATTTTCTTGCTCCAATCTTCTTCACGTCGAATGTGAAGCGTTCGAAAACCGTAAAATTGTTCAACATTTYCTGAGGGAAATCTTCCATTTTCAATGATCCTATCATTTCGTTGCATCCATGAGGACAGAGATTCAAAAATCCGAGATCCAAACAAGTCCCCCAATTTTTGCACTCCAAAGTGATTRGATTCAKGTGGGTTTTCAAAGCTGCTAGAAAATCTGAGTCGTTTTTTGAAACTTTTCAAGCTTAGGAAATTGTGCTCTAATTTTTAGAACATTTTGGACGCATACTTTGCATTTTTCCGCTAAAGTCGGAGCGTTTTAAAAACGARAAAAAGCCAGTTTTTCCCTAAAGAACGACTGAAAACTTTCAGTTGTWGCTAAAGAAGCAGCMATTTGYAATYCTAAAAGAATKATTGTTTCTGAWACKMWRCATGCTTGGTYTRATYTTYYTSATGGCAATCGTCTTCTTYYGAAAAGTTCAAATTATTTCTTATCAAGTTRAATCAGTAGCTTCAAAAACGTCSGAAACYATCTAYAGATTATTTTCCAGTTCTGATGTCCTGATGTGCYGAATTCGATCAGTTGTTCTTAAAGGTTKCAATGARCAAGTGAACAAAACTTGGTGAATGCTATGGAACTTTCRAAGCTTCGGGATGCTGCCTCAGRTTTTARAGCTTTTAGTGAGAGTTTGTTGTCCAAAATCACTCAATTGGAATCACTTAAGTGGAAGCTTACACATACTGCTAAAGGAACATCAATCGCAATCTTAAGARACGTTTTGCTTTGCAAGCTAAACATGATTGGTTTAATCTTGCTCATTTGTGCGCTTTCCAAAAATTCAATGCCGGTTTTGATCCCCCGAATCTAGTTTCTAGCTAGAATTTGTTTGGGTAGCAGCAGGAAAATTCGCATGTTAACCAACGATATTCATAGATTCATAGATTGTTCAATTCAAGAGCTTCCACTTCTCTAAGTGTAGATTAATGTACGGGGAGCCCTAGAAGTAATGTCTAACACTTTTGACTCCTGTAGATTTATTGGTCTGTCAGCAAATATTT